TCTTTTCATCACATATGCACGATCACTCAGATGGAATATCAAAAAATGGTTGTGTCCGCTGAGGATTTCTAGGAGGGCGAAAAAGAGAGAGATCTGGTGTGCAAGGAGGGATCAGGAAATTCGGGGATAATGAAAATCGCTCACGCACCTCCTTTGCCGTATCTTGCGATAGAGCCGAGATCTGTTCATGCTTTGATTCCCCGTTATAACGAAAAAATTAGTGCATGTGGTTGGCACCTGCGTGTGGTGCCAGATGGCGTCACCCGTCAGTTACGGGAACCCTTTCATAGTGAGCAGGAATTCAGTTGAACAGGACTTATATGTACAGTATACCAAGCCTATATGGTTGCACTCCATTCGATTTAGCACCGTTTTTTGGCATTCAAAGGCCCACTGGCGAAAGTGAATCACGAAATTTGGATTTCATGCATGTCCTACACTGTTTTGAGAAGCGCTTCAGGCTCTTAACGACCTGTTGGTTGCGACCAAAACGCCTTGGCGAATCTACGTGTACGCTTCTTTTGCGGTGCTCTTGTCCATTACACACAAAAAAGCACAACTGATAGGATTTCTTGGGAACCTTCCCACATGCAAGAACATACGGTACATAGGTGAATCGTATCAAAGGCGAGAGTACTGATATTAATACACCTTCTGAGCAGCATTACGTCACATATCGGAGCCGGATCTTATATGTATAGCGCGTAAGGTGCCAAGTATGCAAGCTACGTCCGTGGCTCTCGGCACAGTAAACAGCATTGGACTTTTGTGGAATGACATCTATTATTCTGCAACGAAATCTGTGAAAGCTTGATCAGCATTAAGGGGCGGCGGCCAATTTGAATATCGAGAATGCCGTAGCAAGCTATACCATTGAAGGGTTTGTTCCTTCAATCGCTTTCGGGGGTTTTCTACCTCGATATAGAATCATGTTCGTCTGAATGTGGCCGCACTTTCTCCTTCTTGAAGTTGAAAGTTACTGTACCACGCCCAATGTTGCTGAACGCACGTGAGGGTACTCAGGTTGTTAGCTGAAAGGGGGGGGGGGATTTTCAAGGGGTCGGTAGCGTCTACAGTAGGCGAATAGGCAGGACAGGTGACAGATGCCTCTGGCTGGTCTGCTGGTCTGCGAGCGACAAGGCAATCAAAAGTTTTCATCGCGTTGTTCAGCTACTACTCGCGCCTTGTCCACCTGCCAAGTACTTCTATTTCTTCTACAATTACCATTTCTTCTAGTGAAGTAAAATAAAGAATAAGTCTAAGTGTAAGTAAAGTTAAGTTTAAGTATAAGTAGTATAGCTATAAGTATGTATAAGTTTATTATACGTTTACGGGAGGCGAACGTGAGAAAAAAAAACAAAATAAAACACAATATATAACATCGAACGATTATATGTACATACAACCAAATACGCACTATCAAAAATAACTTAGCTTGTTATTTATTTATTGCACGCTTAGGTGCGCTACATTAAGTCACATTCTTAACATCAGTAAAAATTAGTAGTTATCAGTCTCGGATTTGACTTTTTTGTCATTGCATAGCAGCAGACTTACTAAACTGCACTTGAATTGTGGAAGCGATAGAGAGACCGGTATTTTTCTTGCTAACCTCAGGTGTCTGGCCTGGCCAATCACTGCTGGCCTTGATGTGAAATCTTCACTTCGCCAAACTAGTTTAGATCTCCCGTCGTCTTTTTCTCAGGAAGGCTCCCTAGTTCTCGAATACGTCGACTTGAGAACATTGGAGCTGTAATTACCCTTGCTCTGTACCAGTTCATGAACATTATACAAAATAGTTATAAAAATTACCAGCGAGGAGGGTGAGACCAGCTCCAATGACGTTTTTGCTCATCACTATTGTGGCCTGAAATTAGTTGCTGATTTTCGCAAATGATCACAACGTAAGTGTTAACTGATAGTGATACGTCCGAGAATCGCTGGCGAACGAAACTCTCTATGCAAATGCTTTTCGGGCAAAGCTTACGGATTCAATGGAGAATACCATCTTATAGAGGTTCAGCTACATGCCTTCTCTGCAGTACGAGGTATAAGGTCAATAGAGGCGAAGTATGGGTGCAGGATTGGTTCCCGACAGAGCCGTAGACTTATTTTGTGCACTTTCAGCGCTCCTAGGGCTGAAAAGAGCTTGAAAAACCCCGAGAATCTGAGGGAATACTCAAAAATTATACACCGTTTCGGCCATATCTGAAAGCGAATACATTCTGTGTTCTGCGATCCGTTTTCTTGACAGGCTATCAATCGTGTATGTGATGGCCGTGTAACGTATACCGTGCCATCTCATTTACGGTGCGTTGCGTTTCGATTTGCATTTCATACCACCTGCTCGGTTGGCCATTAGCGGCCGCAGCCGGCTTCTTGTTTCTGTCAATTGCGACGATCAGTTGCTACGAAAACGAAGCTGTAGCATGGTAAACATCGCTTCGTGGAAACGGCCACGGCTGTACGATTCTCTCCAAGAGAGGTCTCGGAATCGGTACGTCCCTCTCTCCTGCTGTAATACACGACACCCCTGCCCCTCCCCCCCCCTGTTCAATGATGTCGCCAATGTCCGCAGAGTCGTCACCTCTCAACTACGCACACTCCAAATATGGCACACTCCGCGCCGTCTCATCCAAAGGCTTGTCGAAAGGATATGTTTTGCTGGCGAATTGCGCTGTACACCGCTATTTTACTGTACTTCATTTCATTTCTCATCGCCCACTGACCCCATCTAAGAACTCCTCCTCGTTCCAGTGAGGAAAATACGACACCCTGTCTTCGACCTCGACGCCGCACCCTAAGCTAAAGCGGAAGAAGTCGCGCTAGTAACCGAGAGCATGAGACTGTTGCTAACTATGGAGAACTCAGCGCACATTATGCAGCTCACAATAATAACAAGAGTCTCGAGCAAGAGTCTCCAACGAGCTAAAGTCCAGGTAAGTTGTGACCATGCGCTTTTCCAGCCACACCAAAAAGTCAAAATCTTGAGTGGCATCTGGGTAAGAGAGTGGTAGCTAGGGTTTGCCACAAAGATGGAGAAATCACAGAGTACAACACTGACTTCTCCCTGCTATACCGAATGACCTTCAAGTTCACTCTACCACTCCCTCTCTACCAAGTTGTTCCAAAATCCGGTGGCCTTAAGAATATCTGGAATAAGTGAGAGACGACGTAAACATTCCTTAACTTCCTTCAACTGCCCCTTTCAAATTTGTACCGTCAACTTCTAACCACCATTATGAACGCTCCGCCCTCGGCCCTCTACCGATAGTTTCTTCCCATAGTGAAGCTGGATTGGCTTAACCATAGAATTGTAGAAGTTAAGAAAGTGTAGCAAAACCATCAACTCGTAGCAACAGTGACCAGTTCGCCCTTTCATTAGTAGGGGCAATGGTAATGTTGAGAAGCTGAGTATTGCTACTCCTATTCCTAAGCAAAACCCTAAAACCCAGACAATTACTCACTGTGTAACTATATCTTCCAATTGACCGCTCAAGACCATGGGTTGTGGTCTGATCACCAGCCGAATCGGGTGATTGTCGAGAGCCGATCTGACCTCGGCAGGTGTTGGCGAGGTTGTTTAATTGTATGGTCAGCTGCCCGGGTCTGTCACGGCACTTCCGTGCGGGAGACCATCTGCATAATTACATCATTAGCCAAGAAACGCTTACAACACAAAAACTGAATTTCCGACCCAATTTCGCCCGGCCAATCGTTCAGAATTCGGAGCAGTGAAGGTGAATTGAAATAATCACGCATGGGTGAAGGTTGTGGGTGCTCTACAGCGGGATAAAGAACATTGAAACTGCCTACTTTGATCAATCAATACTCAAAATACGGGAAGCTCAAAAAGGAAACATGCATAAAAATAGCCAGAAAGGCTTTGCCGAACCGTGCGTGCCCGCATGGCAGATGGAGCTCCATCCAAACCAGGGTCAACCGTGCGTTCGCAATATTCGAACGAGGGGGTCGCATTTGTGGTTGGTTTTGGTGAGGGGGGTCATTTGGAGGTTGAGGGGGACCGGTAGGTTGTTGGATGAACATTAATGATTTTTTGGATATCATTGGGACGTAGGATAGGAGGGAGTAGTAGAGAGTACTACATTTGACATAAACCTCCCCCGCTTATCCCGCTTTTTTGAGAGTTGGGTGAGTTGACCGTTGACTGTGTCGACTGTCTCAGAATTCTCAGAAATCAAACATCCAATACTACACATGATGATGTGTGGTGGTGGGAGAAAGAGGAAGGGGGATCGTAGAGGGGGAGCATCCTGAGTCTCATGGTGGTGGTGGGGGTCGCATCGAGACCCCCCTAAAGGAGGGGGTCGCGAAATTTTTGAAAATGTGCGAACGTCACGGTTGACCCTGTCCAAAACCGCTCCTATAAGTCCTAGCGGTGAGTGAGAAAGAAGACCCTTGGATTAACTCCTTTTTCAAAAAAAAAAATATTAAGAGATATGAGAACATTTCTATTTCTACATAAACACAATCTTACAAAATGGACTTTTTTGGGGCAATTTAGGACGATAGCAAATAATTTAATTCATTACGCGCTGTCCCTGCCCTATGCGTGTATCTCCACATTTTTGGTGTGAGTCCCTAATATCAATAATCCATCAATAATTTTATGGTTCCTAAACTATATGTAGTAATTTATATGACCGAAAAAGTTTAGTAGCCACTGTGCTACTTAGAAAAATGCTAAATGAATGAAAATAACGATTCTCCTCCGTACAGCATGTCGGATAAAGGATAAAAGGGTAACGCACTCAGTGTTTATCAGTCCCGTTTTGTGATCCGCCACACATTCTACTTCCATCAGAATCGTAGGGCATTTCAAACGTAATCTGCCTGATGCCCAATGACCTGTAAGGCAAGCTGATGTGCAACCCCGTTTTTTTAATCCTCTCAGACAAACCTGGTACCAAAAAGGCGACCTCGGAGAAATTGATGTTTTCTGGCTGGTGCGGATGGCAAACGGCCCAGGAATTGGCCATGGCGTGGTAAGCAGCGCCATTTACACACACTACACCACTTTCGTCCTTACCAAGTGGTGGGCATTGGGTTAAAGGCTCATGACACCATCAAATGTTCACAGGAATTCTATCCGTGACTGAGGAGTAGACTATCCGAACAGATTCGTGGCACTGTCGACTATCAAGTGCACAACAAGCGAGCTAAAGCCCTGCATTGACCGCTGCCATTTTTAGTCACTCGCAGCACACGCAGTGTCTGCACTCTCTTGCACGACGTGGTCTCTCGCACTATACACCCTCTACGTGCCACCTTTCCTTTCATCAAGAGAGAGGCTCCTCACTTTTAGCGCTTTCCATGGTTCTTCCCTCTCCGACGATTCGTTCGCAACTCTCTATTTTTAAAGCAATCAACCAAAAAAGTAGATGAGATCCGCACCCTTGAACAGAAGAAGCTACTTGGCAGGTGGACAAGGCGCGAGTAGTAGCTGAACAACGCGATGAAAACTTTTGATTGCCTTGTCGCTCGCAGACCAGCAGACCAGCCAGAGGCATCTGTCACCTGTCCTGCCTATTCGCCTACTGTAGACGCTACCGACACCTTGAAAATTTCCCCCACCCCCCCCCCCTTTTTTTCAGCTAACCACCTGAGTACCACTCACGTGCGTTCAGCAACATTGGGCGTGGTACAGTAACTTTCAACTTCAAGAAGGAGAAAGTGCGGCCACATTCAGACGAACATGATTTATATCGAGGTAGAAAACCCCCGAAAGCGATTGAAGGAACAAACCCCTTCAATGGTATAGCTTGCTACGGCATTCTCGATATTCAAATTGGCCGCCCCTTAATGCTGATCAAGCTTTCACAGATTTCGTTGCAGAATAATAGATGTCATTCCACAAAAGTCCAATGCTGTTTACTGTGCCGAGAGCCACGGACGTAGCTTGCATACTTGGCACCTTACGCGCTATACATATAAGATCCGGCTCCGATATGTGACGTAATGTGCCTTCAGAAGGTGTATTAATATCAGTACTCTCGCCTTTGATACGATTCACCTATGTACCGTATGTTCTTGCATGTGGGAAGGTTCCCAAGAAATCCTATCAGTTGTGCTTTTTTGTGGTTTTTGTGTGTAATGGACAAGAGCACCGCAAAAGAAGCGTACACGTAGATTCGCCAAGGCGTTTTGGTCGCAACCAACAGGTCGTTAAAGGCAGATT